GATGTTCAACGAACAACAACGCTGCAAGGCTATTTATCAAGATGCACGATCGGACGTGGCGACGTGGACTGTAACGACGTGATGAAAGTGCTATGTTGTATAAATATAATGTATTTAACCTATGTATATGATAAATATGCATGGAGCTAAAAACCGTTAGATTAAATAGTGTTTCGAGTGGACACTCTTTTGTAGAGATTACATATGTTTGACATATTTTGCACATGAGGAAACCGTCTGCTCCACATTTATTGTAACAGTTTGTACTTCACTGTGGTTTGTTAGGCCACTTTTTGAATACAAGACACATTGGCCGCAGGTAGACATCGGTTAAATTGGGGGAGTATTTACAATAAAAAAACTGGTATTTAGTAGTTTTCAAGGTTGTTTAGATTATAAATAAACTGGATATAGTGTTGGGAAACATTTAAGTAAACGACAAACACGAGGCGTTCTTCCTTCCAGCCTCGATGTACAGATTTAGCTAGAATTCGTACTTCATCCGGTATTTTCAGAAGAATACGCCCAACGTTAGCTAATAATTCGTTAAATCTGCCGAAATCAGTTTAAACACACATAACCAAGGTTTAGGCATATCCAGGTACCGTGGAACCTCTGGGGGTCAGGATATTAAAGCTATCTCCAATTTGCATACATGATCTTAAAAATAAGTTTTATATTAAGCTCATTTTGAAAAACAAAAACACATAAATCAACGTCACTATTTTTGACTAACATACAGTAACAACGTATTGATATCAGGTCCCTCCTCTGTAGCGATTAAAAACGGACTCAATGCGTTAAACTGCTGCTGTGTAACTGGTGTTTCAAATAAATCGTCTGTGTATGAGTTTGTGTCATGTTTTATTTTTAGCGAAAAGCTATACAATGAGATATCTGCGCTCTGTTCATCGCCGGAAATCGAACCCCGGATTTTAGCGTTGCAAATCCGTGAATTTACCGCTGACCCACCGGGACAAACCATCGGGAGCCATGAAGTTTTGATTATGCTTTGGATCACCGACTTATGGCGGTATCGATAGTAGTTAACAGGCTCACAACGTATTAACTCAACGCGCTGTCGAAGTAGCCAATCACACTTCACGTTGCATAGTACATTTTATCATTTTAAAAAGTGCCGCATACCTCAACTTCTGTCTCATACAGAAACTAGAGATTACATAGTATAGGTAGTATTTGCAATCCCTACTTCTGACACATCTCGGCAACACTTTCCTAACATATCTAAGCATTAGAACCATAACACGCTCACTGAGTACCCTATATAATACCTGTATATTAATGATATAAGTAAAAATATGAGGCATAGCAACTCGTTGAGTCAATACATTATAACCCTGTGAGCCTATCTACAGTGCCATAAAGGGTTGGTCAAAGGCGTAGTCGAATCTTTCGACAATGAGTTGAGTCAATACGTTATGATTCTGTTGGCTACTGATACATGTGTTGATCCAACGCATTGTAAAGACATCACGTGATTGAAAACAATGTTATCATTGGCTTGTAGCAAAACGCATTGAACCAATTTCTTATGGCCACGTGGCTTGAAATACATGTTTCTTACTAGGTATGATATTAAATGTATGCATTTCGAACAGCGTGTATATCACAACACTGACCAAATCGTTTTGTAAACAACTCAAGTGTTAGTACTTTGTAGCATTCATAACTCTATAACTGCTACAATATTATAAACAAATAACATACCATTTAATTAGTGAATCTCCTCTAAATTCCCAAGATGTACAACAAGTCAATTGCCCTGAACATACTGAACAAACTGGTATGTCATTTGTTGATAAGGTCTTAGCGATCGCGAAGCTAAGACTAAAAACAGTGTAAAAGAAATGTAAGCAAACCACATCTTTAAATATTTAATATATATTGTTACGTCTCCGTTCGTTCGTTAATTTTCCATAAA